ACTAGAAACAAAGATAGCGCGCTCTCCGAGCGCGCTGTTGCATAAATGTAAAAATCACTATCATTTTAAGATATTGTCCAATTGGTCTCAAAGTTATTTAGGTTGAAATTTGATAATTTCCAGTAATTTCAAGCGATTTTTACCAATAAGATGAGAGTTGGGATAATTTCAATAAATTTTCATTAATCGTAAGATCAGTTATTAAAATGCATTAATGTATTATATACTAAAATTCAAAAATAAAACTTTTCCTAATAATTTATACACATCTAAATAATTAAAAAAATATAAATATATATATATATATATATATATATATATTTATATTCAAGTTCATTAAGCTGACATAAATTTCTGAATGGAATTGATATCTATAACTAACAAACTACGTGACTGTAGTTGCCTTCAAAATTATAATTTGAATTCATATTCTTCGTTGAACTACCATTCGATACATCTCATATTTGGTGCGCTTGATTTTCGGTGGGATTATTATTTGATTTGCCCAATAAACACGTTAGAAACTTTCTACTTGATAGTTAATTTGAAAGATTGGAACATTAAGTCACAGATTGATTTGTAAATTTTGATATGGTTATTCGTTCGTAAATATATTGTATATTGTATTAAAATGTATTATAATGAAATTCATTTTCTATTTGAGCAGTTTGATTAGCTTATTATTTGGTATTTTTATAATTTAATTTATTTATTATACACGGTTGATACAATCAAAAATTTATAATGTGAAAAATTTAATAACAGTTTAGCATTGAAGAATATTTTTTTTCAAGTTAACATAATTAAAACATTCATAATATTATTGGATTCAATATTGTGAATAGTATAAATTATAAATATAATTCTTTGTAAACATAATTTTTTACAGTTCTGTCTGTTTTTTCATCATTTATGTATACATGTAAAGTTTCCCAAGATCGAACTCTTGAAAATGCTACGTACAATTGTCCGTGATTAAAAATATCTTTAGTTAAATCTATTCCAATCATATCAAATGTCTGACCTTGTGCTTTATTTATAGTTATTGCAAATGCTAATACAATTGGAAATTGTCTTCTTTTGAATGTAAAAGGATAAATATCTTCACAATATAATGTAATGCGGCTGATGAATGCTATTTCACCTGATTTATCTCCATTCAATATTTTACATTTTAAAATATTATTTCCAAGTTCAAGAATCATTAATCTTGTACCATTACATAATCCTTCACTAATATTGAGATTTCTAAGTAACATAACAATACAAAATTTTCGTAATATGAGTTCATGAAATGGAAAATTTGGTGGATTTAAAGTATTTAAATATTCTGGTAATATAACATCATCAATATCACCATTATCACAATTTTCCGTACTGTCAATACTTGTAAAAACTTTTTCAGTATCATAATCTAATAATTGGACAGTTTCATTATTTATTCTGTTAACATCTACATTTCTTGCTGAAAGTATTGCACATTTAGATAATTCGTCAAATTTTTTTTGAATAATTAACTTTTTAAATATATTTTCAATCATTTGATCGTTTTTAAAAATATTACATTGATTTGGTAACGTTAAATTATCATTATTATCATTCAAAGTACCGTCACCAACATTTAATAAAAATTTTGAAAACTCGACTTCTGAAGGTAATGTACGCATATTCTGAGTTAATGTAAATTGATGAAAATATTGCCAAAGATAACTATATTTGATAGATAAACTTACTAATTCTGTTCTAGTTGAATTTTTTTTTACAGGCAGTAACTGCCGAAAATCACCTCCTAAAATCATTACTTTTCCACCGAATGGTACCTCACTATTCATCATATCGCGTAAAGTTCGGTCTATTACTTCTAAAGCATATTTTGGTGCCATTGGTGCTTCATCCCATATAAAAACATCAATGTTTTTCAAATATTCGCCTTGTTTTGAATTGTATTTGATGTTTGATGATGAATCAGAAAAAAGAGGTACAGGCAGATTAAAAGTTTTATGAAGAGTTTTCCCATTTGGGAGTAACGTAGCAGCAATTCCTGTGTAAGCCATAGTACAAATATTTCGGTTTTTAGACTTTAATAAATACCACAACGTTGTATAAATAAATGTTTTTCCAGACCCACCAGGTCCATCTATGTAAATACAATTTGGTATATTGCTATTATTAATATTACTTAAATTTAATATATGGTCTACAATTTCTTTTTGTTGCTCATTTAATGTTTGATATTGCTGAGCTCCACGATGGTTATTTTCCTGTATTGTTCCGTTATCATCTACATATTCCCAATCTGTCATTTGTGGCATATTTGGAAAATTTGATATATGTGATCCTTCATCACAGAGTATAGAATTTATATGAAAGTATGCTTTTTTCTCACCTAGAATTGATCCCAAATTTATTGTATAATCTTCTGACATTGACTTCTTAAATTTTTCCCAAAGTTTATCAGGATACATCGGATAACAGTGCAGTAATATACGAACAAAAAGATATCTTAATTGATATGGCATCATCCAACTCTCTGCTTCGCCTAATGCACGTTCCCATTCATTATCATCTTCAATCAATCCTAATGCCAAGCAAGTATTCATATAAGTATCATATGTATGACCATTTACTGTTCTGATATCTTCGTAACTTTTTGGTCCTTTTACTTTTGTTAATAATAACCTTAAATGAAATAATTCGACTTGTGAAGGACTTACTGAATACATTCGACTTATAACTTTAAACTGTTTTTGACGCTGTACCCAATGAAAAGTATTTGATCTATTTTCTTTTTTAAATACATAATGATAAGGAATATCTGTATAAATATACTTTCTAGCATTCTGATCACGTGCATTCAATGCAAAAAAATCAATTAACATAGTTTGCTTTTCTAAAACATTTCTAATTTCTGCTTCATCACAGTCATTATTGATTAATAAATTTTGTTGATTTGGTAAATGAATCGGTAATCTTATAATACTATGACTTTTTTCCTGTAATGGTTTAGACAATATTCTCCACACAGCTTCTGCTGGTCCTACATAGCGAGTTTCAATATGATTATAAATTTCATCATACTGAATAGTAGCATTATTATCACTATTTGAAACATTTCCATTTATCGTTATGAGCGCTTCATCATGTCCTTTATAAACATATTTATATAAATACTTTACTGATTTTATGGATGAAATAATTTCTACATTTATGTGTGAATTGAATCGTTTCGAAAGTATTCTATTATATGGAACTACATGTTCATTTGTAAAGTGAGATCCTTGAGATCGAGTAAAAATAATTCCTAAATCTCTACGACGATAATAAGGATAACAGTTTTCATCCATAGTTGTTTCTTGTTGAAATTTTTTTGGGTAATGTTTCGAACATTTTCCATTTACTATACACCAATTTCCGCATGGTCCATGAAGCATATTTTTAGTAATTATATCATATAATATAGGATCATCGGATTCATTTGGGATTTCAGCACAAATATATTTATCGACCATTTGTGGAGTTGTTATTTTATACTTCTCTGCTAACGTTATTAACATATGCATATGAGGTAATCCACGTTTTTGAAATTCAATTACGTATACATAAGCTAAAACTTCTCCGAAATGACGTTCTTTAACAATCATATCAATTAAAGCATTTTTTTTTATATTAAATACACGTGTTACTATATCTGGCCTATCTGCAGCAGTTTGTTTTGAAAATAAATTTTCTTTAATTTCAAGCCAATTAGGATTACATGTCATCGTCACAAATATGTCTGGTTTACCGAATTTTCGAACAATTGCCATTGAATCTTGATAATGTTGTAACATGTTACGAGGAGATCCAGAAAATGATGAAGGAAGAATTATCATTTTTCCAATATTAGTAGTGTTATCATTGTTTTCACTGTTGCGACATTTATTTAAATGATCTATTAGACCTTGGTATGATTCCGCACGTAGTTGTTTTTGATTATTCCTTAAATAATTCAATCTATCTTTTTCAGTTTTTACATAACTGTCAACGACCCATTGTTGAAATAACCGGCGTCCCATTAAGAAAACATTGAATTCATTTCTAATTGCTATTCTGTATTTATGATAATCATTCCGCGTAACTTTTTTGTTTTGTTTATGAACGTAAGATATATTCTTATGCCATCCTCTAGTACCAAATGGGTAAAATAACGGATAAATCCAAGGTTCAACATTTGGATCCATTGTACTAACGTACTGTAAAGATTTAGTATTTTTATTGATCACTGAAACATATGATTCCGGAATTTCACCATCAGCAGTTGTTGAGAAGATAACAGCAACTTCGTTTTCTCGTTGAAAATTGAACCGTCTTTTATCTAC